CTAGTTGTAAAATACTCGACAATCGCCTTAGACCGTGCCAAGTCGATACCGCCTCTAACCTGTTGAGTAGCCTTGATTAACGCTTTGTTTTCTGTGCGTGGGTTTGTTCATTTGGCCCACGACAATATATAAAATTAATGCAAATGATATTACCGGTAATTAACATAAAGTTGTACAAAGATTAAAAATATTTCATAAGCTGTATATACCTAAATTTTTCATGCTCTTCTTCTATTAAACACTTTATTACTTTTGATTTTCTCTTTTGAAGAACTATATCATTTATGAAGATATTCAACATATCTAATAATTATATTCCTTATAACATCTTCACTCCATAACTCTTTTTGTCCTATTATTTATTTAAAAAAATATATTATTCAAATATATATATTTATAGAATACTTATATATACTTACGTAAATCTTCATTTCTTTTAATATAATCTTCCAGATAAAATTTTATATAATTATTTAATCTTTCATGATTATACTGATCACCTGGTGGTTTTTCTAGATTAAATGTAAAGGAAGTTTCATCTATATTTTCAGAAGCTTGATGACCATTTATCTTGTGACATATTAATTCTACAAAGTAGGATGTGATGCAGAATACCAATTTGAATTCTTAACAGATTTATTTTTGGAATTAATTATTTCAGAAAGTGGCTTGTGAGAATTTTCAGTTCTTTTCTTCAAGGATATTTAATATATTTTTATGATCGTTAGTATATTCAATGACTTTATCTTGTATTTCTAAGATATTCATGCTTAAAGTAGAAAAAATATCTTGAAATGCTGTGTTTAAAATTATTATATATATCTTGAAGCTTTGTAGCTTGAATAAAAATAGTTTCTTGATGTTGCTCAAATACTTTATTAATACAGTTTAGTTTGGAATTGGTTTCATTTAAATTTTCAAATACAGTATCTAGTGCTTTAGCAATTCCTTTCGTAGTGGATGTTGTTGAAGTTTTCAAACCAGAGGTAGCTTGGTTAATATTATTCATCTATAAATGTATATGAAAAGAAATATAGCAGATACATAAAAAAAGTAAGAGTAAAAAATATAGCAGATACGTAAAAAAAAAAAGAAAGAGTAAGAACATAAAAAAAAGAAGAAAGAATATTATATTTATATTCAAATAATTTACGTAATCAAAACAAAGATCAGGCTTTTAATTTTTACTTTACAGTGACTTGTTTATTTTTTATACAGTCTATACTATCAAATTGCATATACTCTTTAAATGCATAAAAAAATTCCAACTTTTAATTATTAACGCAAAAGTGATTCTTATTAAATATATATATATTATCTATATGCATAAAAAAGTCTGACAGATAGTATGCAATTAGATAGTATCGACTGTACTATACAATATTTCATTTTAATTTATCATATTATTATTTAACATCACTTAAAAGCAAAAACTGTATAACAATTTATTAATTTTGTAAACTAATATATTAAGCAAATTTAAATCAAAATTTATCTATATACATTGAAATATACTAATATTAATAGTTTATAAAATGAATGCAAATAAAGCAAATAAATTTATAGATCTGAAGTAATATGATGAATAAGTTCTATCTATTTATCTTTTTTGATATTTGCAAGCCAAGTTATAGTTGTATAATCAACCAAGTCGAG